ATATATATATATATATATGATTACTTTTCGATTCAGGTTGAGCAAGTGGTAATAAAACGAAAAAGAAATGACTGGAGAACTCATTTGGAGCTTTTTAAACTTTCATATATCGATCAATGGAAGTGGAACTGTCAGAAAACTCTCGTCAATGTCAGTATATATGTCAGTGCAAAGGCAATATTTTGGTCAGTAGAACTACCGACATATTTAAACTGTCAATAAAAATTTATTACATTTCTTTGCAATTAGATGGAAGATTTGACACATTTAAGATTGCATGTAATTAAAAAGAACCTTACTCAGCTAAGAAAATCTATTATCTTAGCAAATCAACATAAATTTATTTTTAGTACAGTAATCACTAGTGATTGACAAGGAAAATGACTATTTTTGATACACGTTTTAATTAGCACACTTCATTAAAATCATAATTAGTAAGTCCAATTGAAATTTTAATGGCTAATAAAAACCTCATTATTTTGTATTCAAATTAATTCTTTGAAATCGATGTTAAAAGATATTTTTCTTTTCCCACTTCATTCAGAATGTTATATGCAATTCGCTTTGCAGGTACAGCGTGCAGAATAATAATGCGAACACTACGATGCAATCTTAATGATTTGAAGGATTAACTTTAAATATTCTAGAATATTTGTAATGACGACGATAAGCTACAAAATATTACTCAAACTCTCGATAAATTCGATACTTTTATAAATTTCAATATTTTCAATTCGGAATATTTTAATCCTAATGAAAATTCATAAAGATATAAATCTGAAAAACTGTGAGATGAAATTTTAAAAGACCATAGTCATAACCAGTAGCATAGTATATCAATCACATTTGAAATTTTTATTTATTTATTTTTATTTTATTTTATTTTATTTAATTTTTTTCTTGGCGTTTATTACAGTTGATGTTAATTACTATAAAGTTTTTAAAATCACTTTGATATTTTCCTTTTGGTTTAATTTTCACCTTAAAGTGAAAGATGATTTTTTGAACTTAAACTGATGGCAAAGAAATAATCACTATTTGTTCTACTTCTTTCAAAATTGAACGGTTAAATTGTAACTCTTACTAAGCATTACCGTTATGAAGGATATACATTTAAATCTAAAATCGTAAGGTAATCTTTTTTTAATAATAACCTGAAATTAAAAAAAAAAGATAGACATTTTTGTTTGTTTTAACCTGTTTCGATTGACTACTTTTACAGAGTGACTTTTGACGACTTTTTACAGAGTTGCTAGTTATCCAGAAATGTCAAAAAATTGTATGACATCTTAAGAAAATCATTTTTAATTTTTTAAAATAAAATAAAATAAACTTTTGTTTTGCTGCAAAGTTTCCATATGCCAATCATGATATCAATATTAAATACGTGTTTATTTAAGTACCCTTTTTCCTTTGAAGTTAACAGTCAATCACAACAACTACTAACAAATACAATATATGCATTCATTTGCAAAGTTCTCTTATAATATATAGGGGCCTCCCTTATCGAGCGGTATCACCCGCCAAACGCTGTGCGAAGCGTGGAGATAACGGGTTCGAATCCCGCTATTACCCTGTTTCGTGCTGTCCCTCTCTGTATTGCGCTATCTTCCTTTCTGCTTGACAAAGATTTATAAATCTTAATTGAGCGCACAAGTCTGCAAATTTATGTTATACCAATAAACTAAACTAAATTCCATAATATGCATGTTATAACTGTTAATATACATATGTTACGAATACGTTACTCTTCTGAAAGTCTCGGTAAAATGAAATATTCTTAATACCCTTCCTTCATCTTTTCCGATAAGAAGTACGGGGTTTCTACAAGTATTAAAAATTTTAAAATATGGAGACAAAAATGGACCAAGCATTGATATTTCCAAATATTTTTGACCAAGAGTATGGATTATTTTTTTCAAAGGAAATATATCCATATTCCGATTTTGCCACCTCTTAGAAAATGAAATAATGGTCTTTGATTAACGGAAATGAGAAATTTAGAATGAAATTTCTTTCTCTAAATAAATTAACATAAAATTTCTTTTTTAGCATTTAATTAACATTTCTTTCTTAAAATTAAATTAATATTTTTTTCTTAACATACATTTAAAAATACTTATGCCTACAAAATCAACGCGTTCTTTATAGATAAAAATCTAAAATAGAAAAGCACAATTTAGTTATAAAATTGGAATATGGGAGATAAAATAATGGTTACTTTTTAAACCTAACGATTTAAACTAATTCGCGGAACTTCAATGAAATTTCTTTCTTGAATGTAAAAGAGTGAATTCTTTTCAAAACATTTCATTTTAAAAGAGGACTTTTTAAAATGGAACACTCACTTACTTTGCCAGTATAATAAATCAACTAATACAATAAGAGATTAAATCTTCGTGTTCATTAACATATTTAGGTTAAAATTTTGAAATTCGGAAGTAAATTTCCTCGAAAGACGTGTTCTTTAGATTATTTTTGTTTCTCTTAATTAAATTTCAAACAAAGAATTTTTCAAGAAATCTGTTTCCTTAAAAATTGAAATTAAAGCAGGAATCAGATGAGTAAAATATATGGCTTGCACTTAATCTATATATATTTTAAATTTATAACAAATTAGTTGACTGGTTTTTAATTTAGAAAATACAGGTCACCTTCTTTTATATTTATAAAAATAAAGTTTTTTTTAATGTGATCACACTATTCGTTACCCAACTTCTGTTTTAGATTTATTTTAAAACTTTTGTTTTTTATTCTTTCAGGAAATTTTGAATATTTAGATTTTTTTCCAATTCATAATGTCGAGTGATAAGTTGCAAATATGCCTATATATTTGATTAAGAAATTTTGAAAGGAAAAATTTCTTAATAAAAATAATTTACAATATTAATTTACAATAATAATTAATTTAAAAATAATTGATTTAAAAATTTACAATATTGAGTAATTTACAATATTGAGTAATTTGCAATATTGAGTAATTTACAATATTAATTAATTTACAAAATTAATTTACAATATTAATTAATTTACAAAATTAATTTACAATATTACTTAATTTACAAAATTAATTTACAATATTAATTACTTTACAAAATTAATTTACAATATTTATTAATTTACAATATTAATTTTTTCCCAATAAAATATAATACAAAAAAAATCTTTCAGAGTCCGTGATATTTTTAGGTGCAAACAAACATCGAATAGACACTTAGGAATAACGATTTGTCTTGAATTTTTAAAACTGGATGAATTTCTCTTCCTCAAAGTCTAAACCGTTCTATTGTAAGTTTTAAATTATCCTCCCTAAAAGAGCGGGATTCTCGTTAAATTATCATTTTAATATTGATCGATTTTCTTAAATGCTTCACCAATTGCAAATAATCAATTTTGAAACTAATTACCGTTAGAGTGGGAGTAATAAATTAAAAAGCCAAACGCAATTGTAAATGATTTTAACACAAATCGTAACATTTCAAAAAATTCACAGAAATCATATCCGAAATTCGGCGAAATTGCAACTCTTATCTAGCATGAGATTTTTTTAACGGATTTTGAATATTTTCTGATCTTAAATCTACTGACGCCGATTTCAAATATGCTATCGGTTTCTCTCTCTAAATTAGGTTTTTCTGTTGTTCTCCTTAAATTACATTTTTGACGAAACTATTTTTGCTGTTTTTTGTCGAAGTTTAAAAGCGTTATATATAATAGGGAATCGCATATATGATGCGACAAACTTCTGGGGAGTTAGGGTGCATAATCAGCATTAAAGTTGCTTAGTATTTCAATTGATTCTTCACGTGCTTCTGAGCGGGTCATAAAAAAGGGAAGCGCCAGGCACGACGGCATTTCCGGGCATGGGATCATATATATATATATATATATATATNTTCACTTACTTTGCCAGTATAATAAATCAACTAATACAATAAGAGATTAAATCTTCGTGTTCATTAAGATATTTAGGTTAAAATTTTGAAATTCGGAAATAAATTTCCTCGAAAGACGCCTTCTTCAGATTTTTTTTGTTACTTTTAATTAAATTTCCAAAAAGGAATTTTTTAAGAAATCTGTTTCCTTAAAAATTAAAATTAAAGCAGGAATCAGATAAGTAAAATATATGGCTTGCGCTAAATATATATATACATTTAATTTATAGCAAATTAGTTGACTGGTTTTTAATTTAGAAAATACAGGTCAACTTCTTTTTCATTTATAAAAAAAAAAGGTTTTTTTCTTTTATGTAATCACACTATTTGTTACCCAATTTTTGTTTTAGATTTATTTTAAAACTTTTGTTATTCATTTTTTCAGGAAAATTAAGATTTTTTAAAAATTTTATTACAATTCATAATGTTGAGTGATAATTGCAAATATGCCTATATATTTGATTAAAACTTTGAAAGGAAAAATTTCTTAATAAAAATATTTCTTTTAATTTACAATATTAATGCTTTTTTTTAAATAAAATCTAATACAAA